ACTCTGAGACCTTCCTGCCCTTCCTGCACACTTGTTGTCCAGCCGTCACAGACAGCGATCAACCAGTGGAGAGCAGTTTTGTCAGCTCACAGGTACCAACCAGACAAACTTCCCACTGAAATGACACATAAATAATAAATTGTAATACACTGTAACGAGCTAAAAAAATGAAAACACTGGGGACCTTTTATTTGTAAATTATATGCTGTGATTGCTTCTGGTAATTAGATTAAGACGGCGCTGTGAGCATGAAGATGCTTAGACTTCTTTAAACTTTGCTCCATGTGCAATACATATGACTATTCAGGTTACATGTTTTGTTTTGTTCCTGCCCCCCCTTTTTTTTTCTTCTGTTTTTTTTTAAAACTTATTAATTTAGGTGGATCCCAGCTGGCAACAATGGGCAGAGTTTCTTGTGAAATACTGTCTGCTTCCATACCAGCTGATCGCAGAGTTTGCTTGGGACTGGTTGGCCGTTCACTACTGGACATCCCGTTTCATCATTGTTAATGCCATGCTGCTGTCTGTCCTTGAAGGTTGCGCCCTATGGAGGCTGTGGATGAGAGCCAGGATCAGGTAAATGCAGTGTGAAGGTTGGGTGATTTTTCTTTTTGCTCTTGTTGTTTTTATTATGCAAACACTGAAATAGATTTTAAACTGTCTCAATCCAGATGAGAGTTCTGCACAGTTTGATAAATACTCTCTAATAAAAATCTAGTTATTAATACAGTTACGGTCATTGGGTACGTGTGTTATGGCAAAAAGGAAGATCAGATTGTACTTTTGTTATACTAACTTTGAGAAGGAAGTGATAGTTGAAATAAAAGATGTGTATACTGTGGTCACGTGGCATACTTTGGTCATCACAAGGCATATTAGTGTTACTGGGAACATTTTCTGGTGCCAAATTAATGGGTATGTGAACCTAGATAAAAATGTTTTTACTAGATTTCAGTGACTGATAAGACCCAGACACAGTAAGTGCATATTCCTGCCAGTCAGGAATATAAACACTGAAACTCAGCAGCTCCAAAAGTCAATTTTTAATCCTAAAATGCTGGTTAAGTGTAAATATTATCTATCTGAAAGACATGGAGTCCGTCCTGCTGAAGGAAAACAGGACCTGCATAAACATGCCTGCAGTTCTGTGCAAACCATTGTATTAATGTCATGTTTTCTGAATTGTATGCATAGACGGTATAAAAGGTGGATGTAGTGATGGTGACATCACCTATTGGCTAATGAAAACAAATGGAGCACAGACATGCAACTGCATTTTTTTTTTGTTTTTTTTTGTATCCAGAGTCGCCCCCTGCAGGCTGTTAGAAAGATTTATGGCACTTCTGCCTTGGCTTTACATTTCAGACCTAGAGACTACAACCGTATTTTATACTGTCTGTTGTGTATTACCTGGAACTGGATTTAGTATCTCCTGTACAAGATTTGGGTTGATAGCTGTTGAGTAGTGGTTGTAGTGGTTTTATAACACTTGTTTCCTCCCTCTCTTTGTAGGACTCTTCCACAAATGATGTGGAGCCACTTGTGGAAAATGCTAACTCAGGGATTTGCATTTGCCCTCCTTTGGCCTTTTGTCCCGCAGTTTGTGTGCAACTGCCTCTTCTACTGGGCACTCTACTTCAGTCCCATCATTAATATCGACCTGGTGGTGCAGCAGTTAATGCACCCTGAAACAGTAGCATTGTGACAGACGGCACTGGATGAGGTGGTGCCCAATTGATGTGGGACAATTTGCAGCAAATGAGTTGACGAGAAGTGTTTATTTTTAGCAGTAAACACATTGAAGACTGGCTTTATCTACTGTTGGGGAATTTTATCTTGGTTCTTGATTTGTCTCTCTCTCTCTGCCGGATGGTTGCCGTGTTGAACAATAGAGGCACCGGACTACTGAAGGAGAAACAAAACCAATGAGGTGAGAAACGAGTAACAGTGTCTGACTTGGGTTGATCTTTTTGTATCCACAGTGCATTCAGAAACCACGATGCCTAAACGGTCCGGGGTGGTAAGCGGAATGATAAGACGTGTTTAAACACTCACTGGAGTAAAGATTGGAATCACGACGCGGTGCTGAAAGCTTTGTAGCCCTGGCATAGCTGTAGTCCAATAGAACATGCGTTTTTATGCTTATACAGAGTTAGTGAAGTTGGAACAAGACATGTAAGGATACATGTTTTTGCATCTGTTATCAAATATCATTCTGGCATGTGATCTACTTTTAGAAAAAATAACCTCTGGCTGCTTCAGGATTTCCATCCAGAATCTGAAGCAGTATTTATAACTCTGCATAAATTCTGATGCATTTCTTACATTTTCACTGTGAGTGTGATCTCGGTGATCTACAGAGCTGTGTGAGAAGTCATTCTGTGATGTTTGGTAACATGACTGAGTGTCAAGTGAGGCTTGTAGTTCAGCAGTCTGTTTGGCCTCTCAGGCTTTAGCGCCCTTCCAAGTGCAAACAGAGACAGTCTGGCGGAGCAAATGTTCTATGAAGTTTGTTCCAGCGGTTCCAGCATTTGCCTTCACAAGATTTGTGATGCTTAGATTTGAAATTTTTAATATTGTGGGTTTTTTTTTAAATTTGTTTAGGTAATGCATAAAACTTCTACTTTTTTTTAAATATTATATATATATTTTGTTTTTATTTGCTCACACTGCTGAGAAATATTGTTGCACTTTTTAAAAATTGTTCAAGTAAATTACAGTATACGTTTCCATTTCATGGGTGGACCAAGCTAATCAGAAATTAGTTTTGTTTTTGTTTTTTTGTTTTTTTAAACATGTTCATTTGCACTGAAAAATCTTACACTGTGATGATCATCATCATTATTATTATTATTATTTGTGCTCTTTTGTTCTTGAATGAGACTTTACAAAATAAAGATTTATATTAAATCTGAAGGAGTATTCATAGCCACATATACATGACTTTCTAAATTCTGATTCATTCTGATAAAGGAGCCTCAACCAACTGCTGAGTGCATAAAACAACATTTTTAAAGGGTCTGGATTTAAAATCCTTTGCTACCTTAGGAAATATTTTAATAATGTGAGATACAGGTTTATGATTTTCATGAGACATAAGTTAATCAAATATCTAAAAATATTTCAAATATTTCTCATCACGTGAACAGAATATATTAAAGTGAAGAAATTCACTTTTCAAAAATAAATATATATGTATATTTGATGTTTTTGAGTTCAGTGCTTTGTTTTTTCATTTTCTTTTGTTTTAGTCATCAAAGTTCTGATACAGACACAGACTGTATCAACAATCAGCTATCAAAAGTCATTGAGTAAAAGCTAATAACTATTGCCATAAATTGCCATTAACATTAGGGGTATAACTGAAACTACAGTACTGTGCAAAAGTTTTGATTCACTCATGTCTTTATTTTGCTTTCAAGACACCTTCTTGTAATTTTTAAAGGAACTTTAAGCAGTCATTCACCAGGCTTTCTGAAGATCTTTCAAAAACCTATTTGCAGTCCAGTCAATGTACCCGATCATTTTCAGAGGAGAATAGATGTTTTTGTTAAACCACTTATGGAACCATTCAAGGATTTAAAATGCATGATGAATCAGTGTTTCGTCTACGAATAAGAGACAACTTAAATTGTGTATGTATGTTTCGGCACTTTGTTACTTCCTGCCTAAAAAAATGTGTACTTTATTTTCCTTTCTTTGCTTGAATCTGTGAAAATGCTTAAAAAAAAACCAAACAAAAAAAACACCCACTTTGAGAGATATGGAGGAGAGTTGTACATGTGCACCAACTAACTGAATCAAAGAGCTACTTGTTAAATACCTGGCATGTCTTAGCACGGTGTGCTATTGGAGGAAACTGGACAAGTGGAAGACAAAAACAGGAAGTGGCAGGCCTAATAAAATAAAGCAAGTGTGCACAGCCATCAGTAACACATGGTGGGGCCTCTGTCGTGGTTTGGAGCTGCATTTCAGTCCTTGGTGCTCGGGTTCTTGTCAAAATTGAGTGAATTATGAACACAGAAAACTACCGTTTTGATCCACCATGCAATTCCATCTGGAACAGATCTTAGCAATGCCTTAATTTTTCATGGTGACAATGATCCCACACACAGCTCCAGTGCAGTAAAAGCATACATGGATGGAAAAACACACAATGGAACACCATCAGTCCTCTATTCGTCTTCCCAGAGCCCAGACCTCAACATTATTGAAGCAGTGTGGGATCATCTTTAGCCAGAACAGAACAAGAGACATTGCATTAAAAAAAATCAAGAAGGTCACAGTATTTTTTTTTTCAAATACATTAGAACTGTACAAACTCTGTTTTTGTTTTATATACTGGATGTTTCAATAAATGACTGTCCCCATTTCCCATTTTCATAGCAAAATAAAAAGAAAAGAGTAGTAGCTTGAGATGTTTGCACAGTACTCTAGATCCAGATATTCTACAGACATGATATCCCAGATATGAAATGTCAAGCTCACAGCCTGAGAACTGTGATGCTCATGTCCTACATGTATTATTTTAGTTGTATTATGAGCATTTGACATTTAAGACAGCCAGTGTCTTAAAATTATATCACAATAATTAAAAGTAGTGATAAGGTAATAAAAGGGTCTAACAATTTACAACATTACTATATTTGGATGAATAACACAAGATTAATAAGAAAGTAGCTCTAACACTAAGACAACCCATTTTATCAGGTGGTGTTTTACCTATATAGACCCTTTAAAAAAAAAAATCTTACACACCCAGTGTTCAGTTATTTTAGGATAAACTGAATCAGTTTGATGCAGTGATTTTTATACGAAGCAAAGTAACACAAGAAAAGAGTTTTCTCCAATCTCACAATCAGTCACAAGTCCCGGGCACTTTAAATAATTCTACTCTAGATGTAAATAAGCGGCATTTAAATAAAGTTTTATCGATTCATTTTTAAAACAACCGCCCCCTAGTGTTTTACGACTGTCGTAGCAGCAGCGGCTGTCGCCATAACAACGTAGGGACGGTCTGAAAAGAGCGCGTTTTGCGCCATACGGAAAAAGGAATAAAATCGCTTACTAAGGACCAGTTTAAATATTGTAATCATTGCGACTAGTGTCTTTCATCTTTAACATCCGGTAAGCTAACTGTCAGTGACATTTTTAAACTCAGACAGCCATTAAAGCGTTAAAGGCACTACGCGTTTTATTCGCGCAGAGGATTTTACATCCTGCCCCTGGCGTCGTTGTTGCGGAAGTGAAAAGTCTACGTGTGGAAGAAAGGTTGGCTTGACCGTATTTGAACACCTTACACACCAGCACTGCTCATGTCCAATCCAGGTTAGCTGTTTCCGTCGAACCAGTCTTCCTCGCCCATCCCTCCTCCCCCCGTTAGGCAAATGGATGCTTTGAGCAGTAGTCGGGGCGTATAAATGGGACGGAGAGGCGACGACAAGCTGTAATGTTGCGCCGGGTGCGGCAGTCTCTCCGGCAGGTGCTGTTTCTGATGGCCCGGAGACCGGATCTGCTCTGCGGGGCTATCGTGCTCGGCGTCCTGCTCGTTTTGGCCGTCAAGTTCACGTGCAGGTAAACATGGGCACGAGCTTCTGTTTATCCTCTGACAGCGTGAGCTTGCTTGTGTGTGACCAGGCTAACACGAGACCCCTTAAAACACAAAAGCTAAGTGGAATGGTTATTTAGGTGAGCGAAGAGCGGCGTTGTAACACTGTTAGGTCGTGAATGAACTACTCCTCGTCGTCTACAGTAGTTACAAACAAGGGCTTCATTATTAGTGCTGCTAATCTAAAACTGACGTGTACTGTAGACAATGAGATTAACTAAGGACATCGCCTTAACTTTTCAAGGAAATGTTGGGCGTTTTTTACAGTTTTCTCAGATAAAACCCAGAAAATATTGCAGGGAGATCATAATGAGATCATTAATGTTTAAATAGTAATATCTGGTTACAGCCCTGACACACTGTGCTGTCATCATCTTGCAGCTTTGGCCTCTGCAACTTTAAGGTTCTTCAAAGCTTATACCACTTGTCATTCAGTTATGGTGAATGAAAGTGCTGAAATCCTTCAGTTGTGTAAAAGAGTAGCAACTGTTGCTGAACGATTGACTTGTTGGCTAAGCAGTTACTCAGTCGTCCTCTCGAAAACCCAGCTGAGACGATAATTGCCACAAAGACTGAAACTTGAAACCGACTCCACGCAAATTATACCAGGCAAATTCTGCTTCTCGTCATGTTGAGGTAATTTTCTTCCCCCTGTAACGATGTAGAGACATTTTTGCATAGCCTCTGGGGGAGGCAGAATGTTTAACACGGCACAGTTTTTCACATTGCTTTCTGTGGACGCAAACATATAGCCTTTCCTCCCCTCATACATCAGCTTAGCATACCCTCCATTTCCAAATAGCATTGCTTCTACTCTCATTTTCCAAATTTAACACATGCATATTCCAATATGTGCAACTCAGCGTAGTATGCAAGGCTGGAGGTTGCTGTAGCACTAACATCAACCAATGATGGACGCACTGCCATGATCAGCGAATCTCGTGGAAGTGACACAGAGTTATAGCTTATGGATTTAATAACCTGTTTGAATTCTTTACATATGCTGCATATTATCTTATTATGTGACTGTGATCTCTTTGCACCCCTCAGCGTTACTCTTCTCATCTTCTCATTTATTTCTGTAGTCGTGCTAAGAATGTGGTGGCAGCAGCTCGGCCTCCGGTGCGTTTCTTTTCTCCTGACGCCCCGGTGGTGGATCTCTACTTGGGTCAGCTTGACCAGGTGAGATTCAAGGATTTAGACTTGATGGCATTCACTGTATTTTCCTTTGTTTGATACTTCATTTGCTCAAATTGTAAAAGAGAA